GCACATGTACCCGTGTATACACGCACGTGGAAGGGGCTTTGCAGGACGTGTGAAGCTTGCAGGCAGATGAGTTGGGTTTATCCTGTCAGATTGTTCATGTTCATGTTCAACTGTATAGTGGGAGCTGTTGAAGAGTTTGAAGCAGTGAAGTGACAGCAGCTGATGGCTGCCAGCAATGGGGAAAGCAGGCCAGAAGAGAGAGGCGAGGGCAGGGTCAAAGAGAATGACTGAGACACCTATGCAGTAGATGGGGGAAGAGATCGTAAAGCCTTGATCTAAAATAATAGAAGTAGATGCAGAGAAAGAAGCAAATTGCCAAGGCATGAAAAGGTAGAATTCATTTGTCTTCGGTATGGGAAGTAGAGGAGAAATCTTTTGTGACTCTTGGGTTTCTAGCTTGAGTAATTAACTGAATGATGGTACCATTGCAAAAGCAAAGGCACACCAAGAAAGCACATTTTTAGGGAAAGATAATACATTTAAACTATATTTTTCCCATCCCCTTAAACTAATATATTAAGATAATACATTTAATTTTAACAAAATTATTTTTAAGCTCTCCACTAGGGATGCTTTAAGTTTCAAAGAATTTAAGCTACAAATGCAGTCTTGGAATGCACTGGCATGTGGATAGGATGAAATGAGTCATGAGTGTAAGTAATACACAGATGTGAGTAATAGCACGCAGGTATGAATAGCTAGCTTGGGAAGAGATGAGATCTAAAGTCAAACATCAGATAGCAGCATTTACGAGGCTTGTTGGGGAAATAAGTTCCCCTCACAAGGAAGCAACCTCTACAAATGAAGAAGGACAACCTTGAGAAAGATATCAGGGAAGAAAGAGTTTTTGGAATGGTGTGAGGAAAAGTGTCAGTGACACAGAGAACCACCTATAATAAGAACCTAAAGATTTATCTACAAATAACAACACCAGCTCCTACTTATAGGGCTCTCTACGCTTTCCAAGAGCTTTCACATTTTTCTCTCAGTTCATTTCTCTCTACAATTTTCACATCTTATACGTGTAGTAACTTCAGGGAAGTAAGGTTAGCATACTTGACAAAGCCATCTGTCTAGCATGTTAGTGACTTGGCTTCTGGAATAAAGAGATTTCTGGTCCAGAGTTTTAACTATGCTTCCTGGGTTTCACACATGCCCATGTTAGCTTGTTAACTGCTCAGTAAGCACACGAGAGAGGAATATGTGCCAATGTCACTACTTAGTAACGTTGTTGTTGTTGCTGTGTACCATAGAGTCGGGACCAACCCATAGCTGACTCTCCAGCAGGTTTTCAGAGGCAGTAAATCACATGGGAGGAGATTGCCCATCCTTCTCCCTCGAAGCAGCTGGTTATCTTTGGGACTGTAGCATAGTTTCTTGCCACTAGGCCACCAGATTTTAGCAATATAAATTGTAAAATCTTGCTTATCACCCATCCAATATAAAATTTAAAAAATAGAAGGGGTAAAACCCCACAAAAAACTCTTGCTGTCACACTTTGCTTTAGTAATCCACCCAAGAATGTATTATTCAATAAACAAGGTTAACACATTCTTAGGGCATAAAAAGGGGGGGGGGCACCAGTTGCCTAAAGCAAAGACCCACTGATGCCAAGCAGAGAGGATACAGGGAAAAGTGAACACTCCAGTGACAGACACTGACATGCAGTCCACACTGAAGGCTGCAGTCCTTGATCTTCTGCAACACGTGCCTCAAGTCCTTCTCACTTTCCTCAAGCAGCGTTGTATCATCTGCATAACGCAGGTTATTGATGAGTCTCCTTCCAGTCCTTATGCCACATTACTCTTCATAGAGTCCAGCCTCTCGAATAATTTGCTCGGCACACAGATTGAACAGGTATGGAGAGAGAACAAAACCCTGACGCATTCCATTCTCAATTTTAAACCATGCCGTGTTCCCCTGCTCTGTTCTCACAACAGCCTTCTGGTCCAGGTATAGGTTTCACATGAGCACAATTAAGTGCTCTGGGGCTCCCATTCCTCTCAATGTCACCCAAAACAAAGATTCTTACCACTGGACCGATAGGCAGCATCATGAAGGATGGAAAAGAGATTGAAACTGTCAACTTCATCTTGCTTGGATCCACAATTAACACCCTTAGTACCAGCAATCAGGAAATAAGGAGATGCATTGCACTGGGAAAATCTGCAGTGAGGGACCTCTCCAAATTATTGAGGAGTAATGATGTCAGTTTGAGGACTAAGGTGCATCTGATTCAAGCGGTAGTCTTTCCAACCGTTTGTTATGCATCTGAGAGCTGGACAGTATACAGATCGACTAAGTAATGTAGTAAGATGCACATCTTTAAAAGATGGAAAACCTGTGGAGCAATTTTCTCAGATTTACTAACTTAAGTTGTACCAGGGAAGGAATCACAAATCAAGTGCTTCACTGCTTTTGAATTGGTTCCAGCTCATAGAGATGAGAATAAAATTATCCTAAGGCTGAAAGTCTTTACTTCCTTCCCCCAATGTGGATAGAGGGTTCACACCACCAACTTTAAGGTTGGCAACCCAATGCTTAGACCACTCCGCTCTGCCAGTAAGACTCCTTTGCTTTTCAAGTAGAGAAATGATATAAATTTCTTTATGTATTTAATTAATGCCATTGAACTTGTACATAAGATTATTGGTTGTACCTGCCACCTGTAGCAATAGCAATTAGTTGAGACCTGTCTGGGTGGTGGGGTTTTTTGCAACTTAACTCACTCTCATGCTTCAAGAGTCAGGCCTTGGTCTTAGTACAGGAGCCCTGCTGTTTTCTGATAAGACCATCAGTATCAACGAGAAGAGGAGGTTGCTCTCCAGTCTGTTGAAGCTGGACTCAGCTCAGATCTATTCATGTGGACTAGTTCTGGAGCTGGTTCTCATCTGTCCTTTCTATTGGGAGCAGTTGGCAATCCTCTTGGTGGCTTGTGTTGCTGGCAACACAAAGGTACACAGTTCAAATACACCAGCTGTTCCACAGAAGGATGAGCAGTCTCTTCCCATGTGATATCCTGCCTCTGAAAACCCACTGGAGGGTCAGCTCTGGGTTGGTTCCAATTTAATAGTCCTCAACCACAAACCACAACAATCTCTAGTGGCCTAGCAGGTAACCAATTGCACCACCAGCCCAAGAGCAGTGGGTTTGAATCTACCATCTGCCTCACAGGAGAGAGATGGGGAATCACCGCCCATGTGATATACAGCCTCTGAAAACCTGCTGGAAGGTCAGCTACGAGTTGCTTTCAACTTGACAGCACTGAGTTAAGTCTCTGAATTCCCTGCTCTCTAGCCACTGTTCATGTCTCCCTAAGCCTGTCTATCATTAATAGTACAAAAGGACCACTAAACAGAGACTTCTGTATTATGTATCACATTTTATTTTCTTTACAACTTGATTATGTCACTATAATATTGTTGAACAAAGGTTCAGTAAGCCCCAAATCCATTGTCTCGATGCTGTGCTGGTTTTCTGAAGATGCTCACCCTTGTTTCAGCCAGGGCTCTGGCTGAGGCCTTTCCTACTGACCCACAGAATTGAGCTTCAGACTGGTTCATGACTATACTAGTCACGCCCTAAGAAGAAGGGTCTGGATGCTACCGGGATTCTGTACCATATGTCGCAGGCGGGTGGCCTTTCCCTTCCATCCAGGCTAAGGTGAGCGCCTTCCCTCCCATAAGCTTGCTCTGTATGTGGTCCTCCTTCCTCGTCACACGTGAAAATTGCTGACTACATAGGAAGAAGAAAAGCAATCAGGATACTTGAATCACATACACCTAGGTTATCACCGATATGGAATACCTATGAAGTATGAAATCATTCTTTGATTGCAAAAAAAAAAAACCAACCCTGTGTTGTTAGATATGTTCCTATCAACTCTAGGTAAATAGCATGATGGCCCTTTTCTGGTCTGTTGGATCCATTATTGATGTTTTTAATTCAAGTGAGGACTTTCTGAACTCATCAAGCCTTTGCATCGTTTGCGGGAGCTCTGGTGACCTAGCGGTGAGGAGTGGAACTGCCAACCCCAAAGGCAAGTGGTTCAAGCCCATGGGCTGCCCTGAGGGAGAAAGATGGGCAGTCTCCTCCGCTGCATCTTACAGCCTCTGAAAACCCACCAAGGGTCAGCTGTGAGTCAGTTCTGACTCCGATATGACAGCACACAGTGACAGGCGTGATTTGTGGAACTTTGGTGGTTCAGTGATTAAAGCCCACGACTGCTAGCCAGCGTCTCCAACAGAGAAAGATGTAGCAGTCAGCTTCCATAGGACTTACAGCTCTGGAAATGCTACAGGGTTATTCCACTCTGTCCTGCAGTCACAACCAATTCAGTGGCAGCTGGTCTCATTTTTGGCTTAGTCATGATTCGGGAAATGCCTGAGTGGTGTGAACAGTTAACAGACTCAGCTATTAACCTGAAGGTCGAAGGGTCAAGTCCATTCAGAGGTGTCTTGGAAAATAGGCCTACCAAGCTATCTCCCCAAAATCAACCACTGGGGATCCTATGGGGCAGGGGTCTTGTGTGACATATATGGGATCACTACAAATTAGAATCTACTGGACAGCAGCTGGTTTCGCGACAAGTCAAATCTGGGTGGAAGAGTGGAGTGGGACTGTCGGTGTGCTCTGAAAGGAGAGGGCATGGCACTGCTTTCCACCCCGGCTCCCAGCTTTCCCTGTCTCAGTAGAGTGTCTCTGGAGCTGGACTCCCTGTACCCCAAGACTGGCTCCACAGCCACAAGCTGTATGTCCAAGCAGGTCACTTAACAACCTTCCTCTATGAAAAATGAGAAGTTCCTCACCCAGGGAGTTGTTAGGGTGACTGAATGCGCTCTCAAGTGGGAAGCACCTATCTGAGCGTGGTGGTGGCCACTGAGTGACAGCTGTGCATAGGCGGGCAGACGAGGCCCAGTCTGGGGCTGCCCGGCCTTTGGTGTGACAACTTCACTGTTTATTACGCAGTAGCCAATCCAACCTGTCTTTTCTTGCTGCAGGTCAGTGCAGCTCAACGGCCAGCCCTTAGTGATGGTGGACGACGGGACCCTTCCAGAACTGAAGCCCCGGCCCCTGCGGGCTGGCCGGACACTGGTCATCCCTCCAGTCACCATGGGCTTCTATGTGGTCAAGAACGTGAATGCTTTGGCCTGCCGTTACCGATAAGCCCCCCTCACACCCACAAGGCACCGTGACCTGCCGGACTGCTTTCCACGTCTCTGCCCTAGTAGTGCCCATACTTTCAGACATCTTAGCAACAAACCAGCCTCCGCTGCCCATCCTGCTGGACTCAACATAGACTTGTTCTCCAAAGAGACTCAATGTCGTAGTGCAAGCTTAGCTTAGATAGGTCACAGCCACCCCAAAGGAAAGCGTAGACGCCATCTGTCCCCCATAGAAGAGAAGGTTATGTGTAGGGCTCCACACCTCCGTGTACATGCACCCTGAGAGGCTGGCAGCTCCTGCCCAGGAGAAATCTTTCCAAACAGCAGCCTGTGATCTGACCAGACAGCATGTAGATACAAACCCCCAGCACAGCCTCTGCAGAAAATGAAGGGAAGCCCAGGTGGGCCTGTGGGAGCTCGGCCCACTTCCCAGCCCCTCCCTTCTGTATTCTGCTGCAGCCCTGAGTTTCCTATCGCCCCTCTCTTTCCCCAGAGGTGTGAGTGGGTGAGTCAGCTCAAGCCTGCTGGGTGAGCTGTTTATGTAATTTCACGGCTGATGTATGAGGGTGTGCATCTGGGTTTCTGACAGTGGCATCAATCACCAGGGCGTCTTCTGGGAAGCAGGCGCTTCAAAAGTAAAATTACAGTCATACTCCGGATTTTGAGAGAAGGTTCTATTCCTTCGTGAATCCCGATTCCCCCAGGGTTGAATGGGTGTCAGGTAACAATATTCATGGAGTGGAGAGCAATGTATTAGGCACCACCAAAAGCAATCATCATCCTTCATGTTGCTCTGAGAGAGGAGAGTTCTGGTACAAAGAAAATACACCGACCAAGTGTGCGCGCGCGCACACACACACACACACACACACACTGGTACAAAGAAAATACACTGACCCAGCACACACACACAAACACACACTCTACCTGAACAAAATGAATCAGACATGCTCCGAAATCAGGAGAGACTATTCAGGGCTGGTTTGTGCCAGCCCTTACTGGAGTTGTGGACAGTCAGAGGCCGTCCCTGTCAGGCATGACTGACCCAACTCGGCCACCTCTCCCCAAGTAGCCATGGGCCTTTCCATGCCGTTAATGAAGCAGAAATCAAGGGTGGTGCTCTGAAGGACCTGGTTTGCACAGTGACATGAGCCCTCAGTTTTGCTCCTTTGAGGAAGAAGGGGAGTCCAGGGCCTTAGGACCAAGGACAAATGTGTAGAATTGCCGTTCAGAGGGAAGTTCCTGAGCCAGGCTCTGATTTGGGCAGATCTGTCTCCTTTGGGCTCCTGAAGGAGGAGACAGCAGGCATGAAGGAGGCAGGAAGAGGAGTGATGTGAGTTAATCATGAGTACATTCCAGATTCCTCGCAGGGTACCCAAGTCCTTACGAACAAGCTGCAGCTGAAATAACTTGCCTTTCCAGTGACTTGATTATCTTCTTTGGGATAAATGAGATGAATGGAGCTTTATATAAAGGAGGAGCAAAGAATTTGACACCGTTGTAGGGTTTTGATGAAGAGACTGTTGTGAAAGGGTAGCACTGGGACTGAGGAGGTCTTGGCTGAGGCCAAAGTCCAGGGAGACTGCCTAACACAGCCTGGCCCGGAGTTAAAGACTAGGGCGGGTCTGCAAAGTGAATGGTGAGGCCTCGGAGGCCTGAGGAAGGCTGGACAAGAAGGGTGGAGGAGAGTGTGTGTCCACAACATGGAGGACTGAGGCTTTGGGAGAAGGAAGCTGACTGGTTGTTATATGTGAGGAAGGTAGGGGGCTTGGTTTGGGCTTGTTAATTATTAAGTAAAGAGGAATCACAGCAAGAGTGTGGAAAATAAAGGGTATCCTCGGACTGGGTCTGGTCAGTGAGGTTTGGCTGGAGAAAAAAGAACCGACCAGAGGGGCCCTCCTCTTCTCTAGGTCCAAGCATCTCCCCCTGAAGCTTCCCCTCTGGGGCTGGGGGTGGGGCAGGGAAGAAGATATCAAGGCTGGGGGTAGATGGAAGCAAAGCGGAGGGAAAGTCAGGGAGAGGGGAGAGAGAAGAAACAAAGACGTTGTCTCTGAAACATTTTTAAAGCAGCACAGATAGGAGCATCTCTTCCACGTGCCAGGGCCCTGACAGTGACAAGACAGCCAGGCCCTGGGCCAGTTTACGTTATGTACACAGTCGCTCCAGTGGTAAGAATCTTTGTCTTCTTGACATTGAGCCTCAATTCATATTGTAGGCTGCAGTCCTTGACACTCTGCAGCAGGCGCTTCAGGTCCTCTTTAGTTTCAGCAAGCAGGGTTGTGTCATCCACATAACGCAAATGGTTGATAAATCGTCCACCAATCTTGACCCCACATTTCTCCTCATAGAGCCCAGCCTCCCAGATAATCTGTTCTGCATACAGGTTGAAAAGGTATGGAGATAGGATGCATCCCTGGCGTATGCCTTTCCCAATTTTGAACCATGCAGTGTTCCCTTGCTCTGTTCTGACGACTGCCTCCTGGTCTGAGTATAGGTTTTGCATTAGAACGATCAAGTGTTCTGGGATTCCCATTCTTCTCAGAGTCAGCCACAGTTTGTTATGATCCACACAGTCAAACGCCTTTGCATAGTCAATGAAACACAGATAGACATTCCTCTGGTATTCCCTGCTTTCAGCCAAGATCCATCTAACATTAGCTACAATATTCCTAGTACTACGACCCCTTCTAAGCCCAGCCTGGACTTCTGGCAGTTTTCTGCTGATGTGCTGTTCCAGTCGTTTTTTGGTAATTTTCAATAGAATCTTGCTTGCATGTGAAATCAATGAGATTGTTCTATAGTTTTCACAATTTGTTGGGTCACCTTTCTTTGGGATGGCAAGGACATCTAACATACTTTGGACATGTGAGGAGAGAGTGGTCCTTGGAGAGGGACATCATGCTTGGGAGGGTGGAGGGACAGCACAGGAGGGGAAAACCCTCTATGAGGTGGATTGATTCAGTGACTGGGATAATGGGGATGGGAGTGTCAGAGACAGTGCGATTGGCACAGGACAGAGCAGAGTTTAGGGCTGTTGTACACAGGGTCGCTATGAGTCGCAAGCGACTCGACGGCACATAACAACAACACAACAACACAGTCGCTCTTGGCAGACTCACTGCTCTTATCCCATTTCCCTCCACCTGAACTCTTCAGGACCAGAAAGCATAGTTGCTGAGCTCTAGGTAATCTAGAAACTGCCCACTTAACCCCCAGACCCCAGTCCTGCCCAGGACACAGACTCACACCCTCACCTCCCTTAAAAACAAGGTGTCGTGGAGTTGATGCAGGCTGTGCCGTCACCTCTTCAGCAGCTCTGTGGGGCCAGGCCTGCACAGCTCCCTCCAAACGCTTTCTGAAAGTAGGTGTTGTGGATACTTTGCTGGGCCTCTGAACTTGCAGAATACAGGCAGATCCTGCTGCTTTTTCTCCCCTCTGTTTATTAAATCTGCTCCAAAGAGGTTCCAGTTTTGTTTATTTTTGAGTTAAGAGAAGAGGAGATCCCTGAAATTCATGCATGCAATCCTGGAAGTCTTATGGTACAACTGTCTTACGGCAGGAGTGTTTGAACCATTGAAAGAACAGCACGAAACCCACTCTAACATCACATTCTTTGGAGATTTTCGCACAGGGGAGGGTGGCCTTTTCAAGTGGAAGTAAACAAATCAAGACCCTTATGGCAGCAGTTTGCCAGATCTTTTCTTCCACTGCACTGCAGTGGGTTTGAACCACCAAACTTTAGCTTCGCAACCAGTCACAAATGATCTGTACCACCAAGCAAACCACTTCAGGGTAAGCAATTACTAAACCAAGAAGGGCTGCTTTTATAAGGGGCTTTCTGATCACACCCTCCTCCAAAAGATAGCCTTTAAATTCAGCATCACAATCAAGATCAAAGAATCAGCTCACTACACTGAGACCAGGGACAAAATTGCTCACCCACCAGCTTTCCTAGATCAGATTCTCCTTCTTAAACTAAGTTGTAGCAGAGATCATCTTAAGACTTAAAAGCCGCTTTATTTTAAACCAAAGAATGGGCTTGAGGAAATGCTTATTTCAAAGAGTAATAACGTATAATGAGAAATCTGTGCCTTTTGTTGAGATGGTTTTCTGCTCCTTCTGCCTCTAGGAACGATTTTCTTTCTTATTTCTTATCAAGAAGGCTCAGAACAAATTCTCATTGTTATTTGGAGAGAAAGCCCCAATTCTTCTGGTGTCCTGAAATCGCTCTCACAGTGGGACATTAGCATTATCTCTGGCACGGAAAAAGCTCAGAAATACCGGAGCGGGGCTATGATTCTACTCAGGCCTGGGCCTCCCAGCACAAGTTCCCCTGACCTCTGCAGCCCCCAGCCCCCTCCCAGCAGAGAAGAGTCACCTGGGCAGTTGGGCCCAAAACTCATCAGTGGAAAAGAGGCTGTAGGTGGATTCTGTCTGAGAGACCACCAACCACTCACTGCACCTTTCCTGCTGTCTCTGCAGGCTCTTGGGGACAGGGCAGCAGCAAGGACCCAGGACCTGGGCAGGCTGTGAACTGCCTCATCCGAGCATCTGCCGGTTTGCTCGCTAAGCTCCTAAGGTCTTTGTGCTTGGGATGGATGCAGCTGCAGAATTCACCTTGGAAAACAGGAGAATGGCTTGATTTCTGAAAACAAAAAGCACAGTAGTTAATTTCAGCTTCTAGAAGCAAAAACATCACTCTGCTTGGATGCCTCTGGCAATGAAGACACGTGCTGGGGATGTGGAGAGAAATCTGGGGCAAGAAGAGTGAAAATGTTGAAATAGCAATAGAGCAACCAAAAGTTACTGCTGTGGCTTTGAGGAAGCCTGGGAAGGAAGGTCCATGCATTTATGCTGTGTGGCCTCCTCCACACCACTGTCTCTCCATCCGCAGGAGAAGTGCCCCACTAGTCTTTTCTGACAGTTTTCTCTCCATTTCCACAGCCTTACCACCACTAGCCACTCTGTCCAGCCCAGAACCAAAGGAAGCTAAGATCCTGA